ATTAATTTATCAGCCCACTCATATTTTAAAATATCTTGTGCAACTAGATTTATTGCATGTGCAATACATCTAATGCTAAAAATATATGGATATTGTGTAGTAACTATATTTCGAGCAAGCTTAATATTAGCTCCATTATCACTAACAATAGCTGCAAAATGTTCTGCACCAATTGAATCTAAAACATCTTCAATTTTACTAGCTAAAAACTTAGCAGTATGAGCTTCATTAGAAAAATCACAAAGTTTATATAAATATTCTTTACGCTCTGGTGTAATAATTATAAAATTCCAGTAAGAATAATTTTTTTTACTACTCCAACCATCTAATACTAAATTAAAAATTTTAAGTTATTATATTATTTATTTATAAAAATTAATAGTTAATATTAAATTATATAAATATAGTTACCTAATGTTAAATTTGAATATTGTTTAAAAATTTTATCCATTTTTTGATTAACTATTGCTAATTGTTGCTCCAATAAATTATTGGATAAAAGTTGTCATGTAGGTGGTTCATATGATAAATTCATTTCTTTTAAAGCTTCAATAAAAAAAGGATTTTCAATAACTCGCCATGAAATTCCACATATTGTAAAAGCTTTAGCCCAAGCAAGATGAATTCTTTTAATTTTTTGATTATCTAATTTTATTAAACTAACATATTGATCAAGTGGTCCTTGAGTATTAATCTTTCTTTTTTTATTAGTATCCCCTTGTTCAGAATTATTAGAAAGAATTTTTGTAAGAAATTGACGAATTATTATTGAATCAGCTTTTTGACAGTGATTAGCTAAATGATTTTCTAATTCACTAGGTTCACCACGTTTCCAAGTTACTCCACATAAATTACATGTTGCTTCATATTTTCCTTTTCCAACTTGTTTTCCTTTTGTAAAATAACTCCAAACTGGACCTTCTGGGCGGCCACCAATATTTTTAACTACTTGTTTATCTTTATCTATATTTGAAGTTGATGCAATACTAACTTCTTCATCAGAACTCATTTTATAAAAGCTAAAATAAATAATTTTTATAAGTTAATGATATAATTATTTTAAATATAAAATAAAAGATTTAATATTGATTTTGTCTAAACAAATGCTAAAATTCAAAGTATTTTGTATAAACTTAAATCATAAAAAAATATATTTACTCTCAAGACATATAACTTACTAGTTTATCTATTCTAGTTTCGACACAATATAGATACGGTGCTATCTTATATAAACTTAATATTGATGTACTGCATACATATATTAATACAAAAATACCAATTAATAATGCTTAATATAAATTTCAGAAAGCTAAACTTGATATGACAAAATTTATAAAATATTGATTATGCAACGATTAATATCATAAATTTATTTTGTCAGAGCAAATGGTTGACTGACATGTGCCGTGCAATGGCATATTTCAGCCAACTATTTGTTCTGGCAAACCAAATTTTATGATATTCATCGCACGATTCAATATTGATGTTATCGTGCAATTATGATCATGATTAACAAGTCATTGTTGGTTAACTGAGTTTTAATTCAAGATTGTTGTGCTTATGTAATAACATACAAAAAAATAACAAGAAAAAAATCTATAATCATAAGAGTTTGCACAATAACATAAATTCTTATGTTTCAATTTCCTATACAATAATATTAATTACTTACGTACCAAAATTTAAAGTTATTAATTTTGAATT